GGATCCTTTGATGAATTATTTGTTCTTGCAAAACATGAAATGCTTTCTTCTTTAATTAATGCTTAACCATAGCTCTAGACTCGGTAGTTATGATGACCCTTATTATTATCAGTATTGTTGTAATAAATATCATTATGTTATTATTGTCCTTATTATCTTTTGCAATGTTAAGTTGCGATGGTTGTGGGCATTGATGATGAAAAGGGACCTCAGCTCTTCAAGTGTGATCCAGCTGGTCATTTTTTTGGTCACAAGGTAAATTTTGTAGATATAGAAAATTACTGGAAGTTGTTTTTCTCTTAACTAATACTTTTCTAGTATTCAAAATTTCAAACCATCTAAGTTTGTTTTCTAGAGATGAACCGAACAAGTGTACTCATAAAGCTTATAGTAGCACTTCTCCACATCTATTGCTTCTCTCAGAGAAAACAGTATTTTCGCTAAATTAATAAAACTATTAATTGGAAGGCAACAAGTGCTGGATCAAAAGAACAAGAGGCAGTTAATTTTCTGGAGAAGAAGATGAAAAATGATCCCGCTTTCTCCTATGAGGAAACCGTTCAGGTAATTTGAAACAAAGCAGAACTGATTTATTCTGGCATACTCTATTCTGACCCAAGGATTGCTAACTTATTTTGTCCTTTTGTAGACTGCAATTTCTGCTCTTCAGTCGGTATTACAGGAGGATTTCAAGGCCAGTGAGATTGAGGTATCAATCATATCTTCTGTGTTTCTCTAGTTGCTGCGTGCTATATATAGAGATGCTGACTGTTTCACATAATGTTGTGTGCATATGTTAGGTTGGTGTTGTGAGGAAAGAAGATCAAACTTTTAAAGTGTTATCAACGGAGGAGATTGATGAGCACTTGACGGCTATCAGTGAGCGTGACTAAATTAAATTATTACCCCCACTCCTTCGTTTTCAACAAATATTGAAAGTTGTGTCTTCAGACTGATTTTGCTTGCTGTTTATGCAAAAACATGGTTTGGAAATTCCTGCCTGATATTCCATCATCATTATTCTTTACCCGAGAACTTGGTAAGTTCTCTGTTGAACCAAGTTTAGGGGTGACAAACTAACAACTACAGTATATTAGCATAACAAACGCCCTCCTACTGGTGGTGATGTAAGGAAACATTCTAATTTCTAAATTCTAATCATTTCTGAGAGTTGAAATAATGATAGCAATACTAACGAAAACAAAACAAGCCAAGTACCTTGTTCTGATGGCATCACACTTGACATTAACAGATATTGTATAGGTTAGAAAGAATTGTCCAAAAAAACAATAATCATTGTGGCATGGGGTAAAGCACTTCCCTTGCAATTTGCCCCCCCCCCCAATTCCCTTCCCACTAGGGGTGGATTCGGGTCAGGCCACCCGGTCCGTGGACAAGACCGGCCCGCTACTGTGCGGGACCGGCCCGGTTCTCGGGTCCGGGACGGGCCTAGGTCCGCGGGGCTGGTACGGGCTCGGGTCTTACATTTGGCGAACCGGCCAGGCTAGGTCGGGCCCGGGTCCGGGCCAAATTGATTTTTTTTTCATTATTTGGGGTTCAACCCGGGTTGGGCTTGATGGTTAGGAGGGGTTTGGGGAGGTGGGGGGGTGAGGTGAGGGGGGGTTAGGAAAGCCAAAAAAAACCAAACCAGAGGCCCGGCCTGGACCAGACCCGGTGGCTACCCGGGCCGGTCCCGGGTCCCCCAATTCTGAACCGCCGGCCCGCGCTTGGGCCTAGGCCCGACCCGGACCCGGCCCGGCCCGAATCCACCCCTACTTCCCACCCTCCCACTCTCTCTCATCTTTCTCTTTTCGACTATAATTTACCCGGCTATTGGGCCGGTCAACTGATTCTAGATAGGGTACTGAACTAGATCGGGTAGTGGCGGGTGGGTGTTCTGGTTTGTGGTTCTCAGATCGACTAGTAGCAGACAGTTTCAGTTCCAATGACTACATTATAATTTTTGTTTTCTTTTTTAGCTTACGACTGTTGGAGTCTTGGAGACAATGAGGGATTTTTACCTCTCTATTTTAACGAAATAAACTTATTCTTTGGTGATAAGGGTAAGAAGAAAAATAACGATTCAGCCAGACTACATGGAGGGACGAAGATAGATATAGGATTGAGATATCACCTTGACCATTCCACTTCACTATTTCTTCACGTTATTGGATTCCTTGGTACCCCTGTCTGTATTGAAGAATTTAGTCTTTGTTACACTAAGGGGGTGTTTGGAACTGATTTTGCTTCTGCTTCTTTTTAAAAAGCAGAAGTAGAATCAGAATCAGTTTTCAGAAGCTGGTACCCCCCAACTTCTAAAAAAACTGATTCTGAGAGTAAATTTGAGGTCCAGAAGTGCTTCTGGAATTTCACCCAAACACTCCAGCTTCTGCTTCTGCTCCCTGAAGGAGCAGAATCAGTTTTGAGAATCAGATCCAAACACCCCCTAATTCACCAGCAGACCAGCTACCTACTACCCTGATTTCGTTTAGAAACCAGGCCTTTAATAATATAGCTTCCCGTCTGCTCTGCCCACAATATATTTCTGCTTGCCCACCCATAACAGCTTGGCTCCTATGATTATGAAGAATTAACCACATATTACCTTAATGTGGACCCCTCCTCTTCTCATTTTTGCATACATTTAAGATCCATATAATTTTTCTCCTAGCCAAGATCCTTATTTTCATTGTTTACATTTGATAGCATATGGAGTTACATCTTTTATGCATTAGTTATTATATCTTCCTATGCACGAGTTACATTTGGATTTGCATCAACAAGTTCTTTTTGCATACACTTAAGTTACATTGTCCTTCAATGCGAGCTACATGTTTCATAACATGAGTTACATAACAAACATAAACCCTTGCAATTGAAACAAAAAACAGTATTTTTGCAAAAAAAAAAATTGAAATTTGAAAAAAGAATGATTTAAAAAAAAATTGTGGCCTTAATATTAAAAACCAGACATATTTACTATGTACATAAAGTAATTGAGCAATTAGACTATTTTTCCATTGTTTACATAGAAATCAATGTTTAATTTCTTATACTCCGTATTAAACAAGTTACATTTCGAGTTACTTATAGTTACATTTCAGATCAATGTAGGATGTTTTTACTTGGATTGTTTTCCATCCCAAATTGGACCATACCAGACTTAAACAGACCAGACCAGATTTAAACAGACTGACCAGACAAGATTAGGCCAGATTTAAACAGGTCAGATTTAAACAGGTCAGACCAAATTTAAACAAATCGGACCAGATCGGATTTGAGTTTCGTAGTTATAAAATACACAGAAATAAAATGTTTATTAGACCAGACTTAAATAGACCAGACCAGCAAATTACAGTCCAAGTAAAACATCATAAGTTACATTGTTTCACACGCGAGTTACACCACCCTACTATTGGTGTAACACCCCGGCCTTGCAGGACCCGGGGTAGTTACTTCGGACCAATAATATTGTCCTCACAAATCATCACGAGCCTTTACCGCGCACTTTGTCCTCACTCATGTGCGCCCTGAGAAACTTCCCAGGGGGTCACCCATCCCAAGACTCCTCTCGTGCAAGCACGCTTAACTTTGATGTTCTTAGTGATGAGCTCCCTTAAAAGGAGATGCACTTATGTTTTTATGAGTAGTACTATTAATCCGTTTATATTAAATCTCAAGTGTTACAATTGGGACAAAAAAGCGATTGTTCACGTTGTTTATATTAAATCTCAAGTGTTACATTGCATACGTATGATTTTCTATTTTAATATTTTTAAAGATGCACGTAGTATCATATACTGAATGTGTTACGTAATGAACTAAAAGAAAAGGTCCATAGGTGGGGTAATGCCTAGCTCCATTGCTATATATGTATACTGTATACACCTGCACTGCATGAAGATGGTGGGTCTTTTTGCAGGTCCTAAAGTTCCTTCAAAATCCTTTTGGCAGCCATTTATTATTCCAACTATATATTTGTGTGATAGTCATAGGTTTAGGGGTTGTATGTTGAAACTTTTTCAAATCGAATATAATTAATATAGCTTGAGGGATGTTTGTATGTCCAAAAAGATGTCTTTTAAAGAGCAATATTCACAGGTCCTATAATCCATATATTAAATTAAATAGGAATTAATCAGTCATTTTCCCATTGTTGTCGATTATTTTTGACCCATGAAAAGATTTTCTACGGAGTAAGCTATGGCACAAGGACGGACCCTATAACTTTAAGCATGTTATTACATTATTGCCATTTATTTCAATAGATGGTATCAAATATTTGAAATTTGCCCAACCTCCCCATATACGGAGTATTATTTGGTGAGTGCTATAGTATCTCACAAATAAATGAGAGTATTGTATCCGCAATAAATATGATTGATCCAAATAATTATCTCATAATTTATTACGAGTAATATTTAATAATTGTATTTCCTCAAATTTCTAGCATAGCTTCAGGGGGCCACTAGTTAATCAAACATCGTCAGGTTCCCCATTCCTCACAAGAAGCAATATTCCATGGTGATGCTTGAGATGAGATAAAAGACAATGTCGACCACTTAAACATTTGTTTGTTTAAGATTTGTAGTGTCTATAGGTATACCTAAAATTTTAGTTAATTTCATTTAATTCGGATTTTGGATTTAATAGAGTTTAGAAGAAGTATTGCCAAATCCAAACTAAATTGAAAATGATTTGGTTTTGTTTCCGTTTGATTAACTTCATTTCGGCTTGTCCAAACTCGATTGAAATGTCCATCCCTATAATATAGAATTTGTTCAATAGTAATGTCAAAGATTTGGATGAGACTCAAAGTTGTAACTTTCATTTTGAAAAAATTCAAATTATCAAATTCAAATTGTTCTACTGGAGAGAAATTCTAAATTGTATCATACAGAAACAATGATATATAGCTAGAGCATCAATTTACTTATTCAACAACTAATGTACTAAAATATGCAGTCTATCATTATGAATAGTAAGGTAAGTAACATTGTAGATTGACCATTATTTGCTCAATAAACCAACCAAACATGGGAAAACAATTTATCTGTCCAGTCCTGGAAAACATTATTTCTGCAAATATACACCCTCTAATATTCATAATATAATGTTGGAAATTTGCCCTAGATAGGAGTAAACAAATTTGGAAATTCCAAAATCAGACTACTATATTTTTCTTCCCGAAATAAGAGTTGTTACTTTCATGATTGAAAAATACTGTCATGATTGAAAAATTTTGTTAGGCATGGAGCCGGGCCGGGCCTAGGCCAGGTCGGGCCTTTTGTGGTTGGGGAAAGGCCCGGGACCGGCCCGGGACCGACCCGGGTTGCCAGCGGGTCCGGGCCTCGGGCCTCTTTATTTTTTATTTTTTGCTTTTTCTAATTAACCCTCGACCCCAAACCAGCCCAAATAGCCCAAAATACCCAGCCCAACCCGGAAAGTTAAAAAAAAATTTAAAAAATGAATAAAGCCCGAACCGGGCCCAGAACCGGTCGGGCCGGTTTCACATATCCCAGACCCGTACCCGCCCCGGTTACCCCCCCTAAATTGGGCCTAGACCCGGAACCGGTAACCGGTTCCCGGGCCGGGCCCGTACAGTACTAGGCCGGGTGGCCCGAACCGGGTCTAAGCCTAAATTCTGTCATTAATTATAATAAATATTGTCATGTTGAATGTCTAGTAGTGCAATTACTTGACAATCACGACTGGATGACAATAAATAATGTCATCTTACTCATATTTCGTCAAGAAAAATAACTTTCATATTTTGGAATTCCAAACCTTATTTAGTCTTATTTTGGGAGATCTCCCTATAACGTAACTTTTCACAAGAAATTCGAGCTTTGGTTCATACTATACATAGCCATTATTGAACATTGGGCATAAACAACCAAGAAGTTTATTTAAATTGATGAACAAAACAACGATAGCACAAACCAAGCAAGGCCTAAAAGAAGGCACCTAATCGATCATCAGATCAATACATGGCATATTTGTTGGTCCAACTTCGAGCCATGGCTTCATACTTGGACCTGTCAGTCTTGTACATGTGAGCTATTTCTGGAACCAGGGGATCATCTGGATTAGGGTCTGTTAGCATTGAACATATGGATAGCAAAACCTGCAATGTCCCAAATTCAAGAAACAATATACTTAGGAATTGATTAATGGCATCAAAGGGTGATTTTTAAGAATTAATAAAGAAAAATATAGGATCATATTAGCAGGGACGGATCCATGAATTTGGGATGAAGCGGAGTGAAAAGTAAGTACACAAGGCTTAAACATATGTGGGGTGGACTAACCAGCTAATTATGAAAATGGGGAAAAGATTTATTCAAAAAATTTAGAAAAACTTTAAATTGTCTTGATTTTTAGTCCACCATAGTCCTAATATAGATATTCTTTGAACTGGTCATTCATGCCATCCCGATTTTCTATACATGTTTGTAAGGATTACCAGGACACAAATTTTAGACCTTAACCCCAAAAACTTCCAATTATGATCCCACATTTCAGGTGCATGTACTCTATTTTTATAAATTAATCGTGACACAACATAGAAACTGGTAACAATTCTAACAAATTTGTACGGTAGAATGTTATATTAATGAAACAACATCATTCAAATCGTATTCGCATAAGTGGCAAAAATTGCAACGGAAGTATTATTTGATTCGTCGAGCCTTAAAAACTTTGTAATATTAATGAAATAATAACCCGAGCAAAATAATCGACCTTGGATATGGTCAGTGCTGGACTCCATTGATCCTTGAGGATATCCAAGCAGATGTTCCCATTGCTGTTTATATTTGGATGAAGAACTTTGGTCCTGAAGGATACCTGCCAGAATGTGTATCTAACTAGCTATGTTGTTTTGATTTAATTCTCAAATGATGCATAAATTGGGTTAAATTCTTACCTTGGGAGGTTTAAAAGGGTAATCTTGGGGAAAATTGATGCTGACTTGGAAAACACCTCCAGCAAAAGGACTGTCATTTGGACCAATTATGGTTGCTTGCCAATTAAATATGTCTTGTGCAACAGGGCCTGACATTTTAATTCTTATGATGTCAATACACATATGTATAGCTAGATAGACAAAGGAGTTGTTTACTTATGACTTAATCTGTCTAAAAAAGTTTTGGTAAATTGATTTTTTTTCAACCATCAACTTTGACCAATAATATATCTTAAAACTAAATTATTTAGTATATGAAAAGTATATCAAAATGTTCATTACTCAAAATAATTTCATAAAAGTATAAGATTGATAAATTATTTACATATATAATAATTAAAATCATTGTCCAAAATTTGTGATCATTGACTCAGAAAAATCAATATGACGAACCTTTTCGGAGCATAGATAGTATATATTTACAACTTAATTGAAAGCGCAACTTACTTAGAATACCGATTTTTATTACTTCCTATAATTTTGTCGAACAACTGAACAAGTCCTTATATATGAATATATTAATTACTTTGTATCTTTTTGAATTTATATTTGTTCAAGCAGGAGGATGATGCTAGTATATATAGTTGTATACTTACCTGCACTGCACGATGTTGGAGGGTCTCGCTGCAGGTCTCTAAGCTCCTTCAAAATTCTCCTGGACGCCATTATATTACTCCAATTTTTCAAAGTATTTGTGAAGATTATTATATTATCAGATGCGAGATTGTGTGTAGAAACTTATATTATATTCTTCAACAAGGAAATTAAATAATTAATATCTGATGATCTCATCAAATTATCCTGCAGACCGTCTGAGAGATATAGATGGATATATACTTATATAGTTATTTATATGTGCTCTGCAGTGGAGTATCACAAAAGGATGGACCAATTTCGGTCTCTTAAATAGATGTGACTTTGATAGGTGTAAAATACACGCAACATTCAACATACATATAGACCAAGCTAGTTTTGACCATATAAATTCAACTTAAACAGACTAGACTTGAAAATTTAAGTCCAATTAAAAGTATCATTAGTCTGGTACATATTTTATTGGGATAATGATAAATGTTGGGATTCTTTCAATCTAGGACCTGAAGGATATGCGAATTATCAATCTGAGACGTGAAAGATGAAATGTGTCCATATAAGGCTTGCGTGATATAAAAACTAGTACATCTGTCTCACTAACATTGAGACATGAGGAAGTAGTGCGATTATTAAGAAAAGTGGAGTTTGTCTGATTGATTTGAATTAATAAAGTAAGAATAAAGTATGAACGATTTAAAACCATACAATTTCCCCAAATTTGGTATGAAACAATTTTAGTGATATTGCTCTAAAAGTATAGAAGAACCAAAAAACAAAATTGTATGAGTGCTACCGTTCAATGATGTTTTTATTAGGACTTATTTTAGTCACATAGTAGATCAGAGCAGACTAAATTGGATTTAGAAAGATTAGATCAGACTTAAACATATCAGACTTTACCAAATTTAGAGTGATGATCACTCCAATATAAAATTAAGAGCCGTTTGGAAGCACGAAAATCGCCTGATTTGGCCGATTTTGCTGAAATTTATGAAGTTCTGGCTGAAGTGGCTGCTTTGGCTGATTCTGCTGATTTAAGAAAAAATTATTTTTAAAATTTATTTTATGAATAAAACAAAGAAAATATTATATGTAAAAATAGCTAAAATGGTCATCTACAGTAATTTCAGCCAATACAGTCAGAAAATTAACTTCAACCTTACTTTTTCCGCTTATTACACAATTCAACGCGCGAAAGCAAAAGTCACGTGTTTGGTGAAAAAGTTGGCTGATAAGCCTAATAAGCCAAAAAACAGTGTTGTCAAATGACCTCTAAATGTAATTTTAATCGTTAAAAGATTAAAAGCTACGTAGTATGATTATGGTCTCTATGTGTAAATAACACATTTTCGTGATATCCTTTTCTTTGACAAGTTCTCGTGATATCCTTTATTTACAGTTAAATATTTAAGGAGAAATTTGCAAATTTCGTCTCAGTAACTTTCTAAGTGTTTTTATTATTAGTCTCGTAACTTTAGTCACTTGCAAATTTGGTTCTGTAACTAATTGATATTTGCGATGTAAGAATGAAAAGTATACTTCCCGGCGATAATATACCAGAAAAGATGTCAGCGACGTCGGATTTTGCTGTCGAAAAGTGTACTTTCAGGTGAAAGAGTCCTTAAATTGCAAAGATTAATTAGTTACATGAACAAATTTACAAGTAATTACAGTTACAAAATCAATAACGATAACACTTTCATGAGTAACTTTATACTTCAAATTGCCAGGCCCGGTCATGACGGGACAAACGCCCTGTTCAAAATCAAATAGGAGGCCCTAAACTATAGAGTATAATATAAAAAAAATAAATGCATGTAAAACTAAAATACAAATACAATTATTAAACGACAATCAAACGTATCAAAGTCAAATAGTGAGTAATATATTTTGGATTTAAACTAGATTTTGCTTAAAAAACTATCCTTCTAAATTAATAAAATTTATTCCAATTTATTTGAAAAAATATCCAGATTTCTAAAACCACTTATGTCTAATTATCGTTTTTTTCAATTCTCCAAGACTGTTCCAAACATACTACTCCGTATCAAGTAAATTATTATTCTTTTCCCTAAAGACCCAATATTTGGAGGCCCTTCATCACATGAGGCCCTGTGCGGTCGCTCCGGTTGAACACCCTCAGGGCCGGCCCGAAGCGCATAGCCGCATATGTCTATAGATGGTGCGGGTAAAACAAGTTTTTCTCTTGTTTAGGTACCAAGGATGTTTTTACTTGTGTAATTTACTCGTTTGATTTGGTCTGGTCTGAACTAGTCTGGTCTGGTCGATCTGATAATGTTTGGATTCTTTGTATTTTTATAACTATCCAAGTCTGGTCTGGTCTTAACTGGTCTGGAACAGATTACTGTCCAAGTAAAAACATCCCAAATATGCATTTTTTTGCGTAAGACTTTGGAATGAAGCTTTTCATTTCTCCCACTGACATAATATTTGAGACCATTACAAAATTTTTGTTGTGATTTTAGTGTTGGAAAATATTCCATTTATATAATTTAATATTCTGTATGTATATTCGGACCATTTATGTCATACCATTAAGTTTGTTATTATATGACAAATTTGGTCCATCTATTTATGTATAGTTAACATATGATAGGTATGTTTTAATTTTAAAGGGATAAAGACCAAAAATGACACTAAGGTTTTTAGCGAATCTCGGATTAGACACTAACGTTTTAACTAGACCAAATAAACACAAAATTATAGCTTTTGGGTCCATTTTGACCACTCTTTAACTCCTTCCCTGTTAACACCCCTTCCCCGTTAACTCCCCCATCCGATTAAAGCTACCTTGGAGCAGACAACAATGGCAAGCAATCTGGATTAAGGAGAGAAAGCAACAGTGGAGGTCGATCGTCCTGCCTTGAAGACGCTCCGCCTCGCCGCCGCTCCGCCTTGCCGTCGAAGCCGCCGCTCTGCCTTACCGTCATTTCATCTCTACGTTGCTGGCAAAGATCTAGATCTGGCCGTGCTCCATTCGATTTGTAGCATCTCGCCGGTAGCTTGGATGGTGACGAGGGCTACGAGGCTGAGAGGGGGGTTGCGAGGGGGATGTGGTTGGGGCTCGGGTGGGGGCTGGTTTGGGAGGCTGGGGATGGTTGGTCGGAGTTCGAGCTAGGGAGTGCGGATCGGGGATTGGCTGCTCGGATCTGGAGCTGGTGAGCTGGCCAGGGCAGGACCTGGGGCTGGGGAGGGGCAGGGTCTTGGATTGGGGTGGGGCACAGGCTTTTGGAACGATGGGGAGTAAACGACGAGGAAGGGTAACAGAGGCGTTAAAGGGTGGTATAAATGGACCCCAAAACTATAATTTTGTGCTTATTTGGTCTACTTAAAACGTTAGTGACTAATCCGAGATTCGCTAAAAACCTTAATGTCATTTTTAGTTTTTATCCCCATTTTAAATAATACATAAGAGACCAAATGAGTTTCTCTTTGTTACAATATAATACACTTGTTCGTTCCATTACGGCTAAAATGAAAGAAAACGTTTCTTCCCAAAGGTCTCAATAACGCCTATATTAACAGGCCCAAAAAAGACCGTTCAATTCATCTAAATCTGCTTGTATCCTTAGAGAATCCACACATCCATGGTTATGGCTTCAACATCTTCTACAACTCCATCAACGTTTGGTTTCTCCTCAACTGGTTAGTGTTCTTATACTTGATTCTATCAATTTTATTATCTTTAGTGAGATTAGATCCCAATTGGGACTGAATTTCTCGACATTTAAATATTGTTTATTTGTTTTGCATTAATCACACCTTTGAGTAATTAGAACCCATTTAAATCTGTTTATAGTTGCTGACTTGCTGTCTCACATTTTTGGAGATGACTTGTTCAAAGAGAATAAAATTTTAGATGATTCGAGGATGCCAATATTTCACATATGTTCACACGGTTGTTGAAAAGAATAACTGTCATTTTTCATTCCTTCCAATATTCAATGCTGCCATTTTAAGCTAACTCCTCTCCTCCGTAGATATTGAGAATTGTAATATGCGTTCTGTATGAAAGCATCAATTAGACATAATGGGTTGTGAACAAATTCTCCGTTGGTGGTATCCTTTTAGTGGTTTTTTTTTTTTTTTAAATTATACTCCTTCCTTTTCTAATACTTGTCCCTCATTCCATTTTTGGGTTGTTCTCTAATGATTGGCCTCTTTTCATTTTTAGAAAGTTTTTTCAATAAATATACTCATTTACCCTCATTCTCTTTCCTACATTTTCATTCTCTTTCCTACTTTTTCTTGTAAACACAACTCATTACACCTTTTACACTACCTCTATTATTTTCCTCTTAATATTTGTGCCAAACCCTATAGAGACAACTAATGGAGAACGGAGGGAGTACTACAAAATATAGAGATAAAGAAAGAGAGAAACTCATAAAAAGTAGAGGGTGAACATAAAAGGAACGAAAAATATGTCATTTTCACAAAAATCATAAAATTTTAAATGTTTTGTTTTCCATTTGAACTTAATTATGATGCACTCTCAATAATCAACAATGCTTGTTGTACTCACTCTTATACCCACCATGTTTGTGAAAGTTTTTTTTGTCTGTGAACCAAATTCACAGACAATATTTTGTTTGTGCAAAATATTGTCTGTGAGCCGGGATTCACAAACAAACAAAAAAACCTTCACAAACATAAGTGGGTACAAAAATCATTTTTGCTCAATAATATAGGTAGGGTTTCCTCAATGAACTTATTGGATCATTGGTCATAGGCCTATCACTCTCCTTGATGTCGTAACCAACACTCTCGACCGTGTTTACTTACTTAATAATAAAGTACACACTTCTAAATTGAAACTGAATTTTCAAATAATTGCTATTGAGTTCAATTAGTGAATAGTCATTAATTGCAATTAAGTCATAAATTCATATTATTTGCATATATTATGAATCATCAATTTATAAATAAACTACAAAGAATATACTCATTCCATTTATAGAGCATATGTACATTTGGAATATTTTGTAATGTTGAATTTGAGTACATATTTTTGAATGCTTTATTAAGTTGGTTGTTGGTTCTAGAAAATTAAATATAATTTGAAAAGCCTTCATTTGGTATTTGGAAATATTTTGTATATTCTGCCAAGGAAATATGTATATTTTCAAATATTTTGTATTTTTCATATATTCCATTCAATTTATTTATATACTAATACTATATTTCAAGCTTGTGCGATGCTCGGATGATCAATAATATGATAGAATCATTAGTTTAATTGAAATATACTCGTACAACTCAACTAATTTAATTTCTTCTCCATGCATACTTACATATGCAAAGTAATTTTTTATTCTACAATAGTAAGTTGCTTTTAGTGATAATAGTTCTTTTAAGAAACAGAAAAATATAAGAATAAATCAAATTAAAAAAATCAAGTGAATTTTATATTTATTTTAAAAATGATGTAAATTTTATTTTAAAAAAACATGTGAGTTTATACAAGTGATTTGTTTTCCTTATAAGATTGTCAG